TTGCTTCCAAAATCCCACTTTCTGATCTCTCGGATTCCGTTTTTATTTAAAATCGTTGAAAAATTAAAAACTAAACGTAGTTGAAAACTTAGCCGGCTTACAGTCGATTTTAAGTCGCCGCCGACATATTTAGTGTCAGTCGCCGCCGCCGTTAATATTTGTCGGCGCAGGGCTCTGACTACACGTTGTTCTGATTTGTTTACTATTTGCCAGCAACATTTTTCAATGAATTTTTTAATAAATTAAAAAAATGGGGCAAGCAAATAAACACAAAAAGTTTAATCCACATAAAAAACAATATAAAAAACCCGCTATAAATAAAAAACATTTAAATAGTAAATTTAAACATCGTGGTAGTGCCACCGTTGAACAGTTAAAAAAACAAATTGACTTGGAAAAGAGTCGCAAAGAAAGACAAGCCCATCTAGCACAAGATTTTGCAGAAGATGTGGAGGAAGAAGAGCCTGTTAATCACTTTCAAAGTTTAGTGGAAGATTTGCACACCAGTGGTAGGTTATTAAACTTAGAAATATTTAAAATTTTTAATAATTAAATGTGCCTGTTTTTAGTGAAAAAGAAACCAGCCTTCAAGGAGAAACCTTTACTGCTCTTGGGTTCTAAAAAGTCCAAACAAGAAACTAAACCCGATAGCAAAGCCCGAAAAATAAACGTTAATTATCTTCTACCTAAATTAAACCACTTTAAAGATCATTTACAAAATGAAATCAGTTCCGAAGATGTGGAAAAATTGATTGATGGCTCAAGTGAAAAATTAAAGTTCACCGTAAATTGGCCTGAGCTAGGTCATTTATATATCACCACTCCCGATATTGCCATTAATGATAATAAGGGTTTTATAAATAAACAACCACCTCCAGCTTTTGAACAGCAAAGTGATTTAGAGTCTATAGGTGTGCAACCATCTTTAGCCGCCCGAGTAACTCTACCCTTAACACAACTACAAAGTGAGCTTTTGTCACTTGTCAATACGTATAAAGATGTTTATTATCCCTATCGAACATTCGATAATGCCGAACAAATACGTCAGGTGTATACCATACATGCGTTAAATTATATTTTTAAGACGAGAGCCTGTGTTATGTTGAATACGAAAAAGATCGAGGAAGAAGAAAGTAAAAATAGTGGTGTTGTTTTTGATGATATCTATCGCGACCAGGGTTTAGCTAGACCGAAGGTGTTAATTGTGACACCTTTTCGCGATTCGGCTTATCGGATTGTTAAGATAATGTCGGAGATTATAAAGAAGAAAGATAAAGGTAAGTAAATGTCTATATATCCACCTATCAATCAATTGCTAATTGTATACATGTTCTAATTTCCCAGATAATGATCAAAAATCTATAATGAACTTCGATAGATTTGAAAAGGAGTTCACTGGCGATACTATTTACTTCCCCAAAACTAATCCTAAACCTGAAGATTATGAGAAAACTTTTGGCGGCAATACTGACGATAACTTTCGTATTGGCATGTCTTTGACTAAGAAAACCCTAAAGTTATACACCGATTTTTATTCCTCAGACATATTAATCGCATCGCCTTTGGGCTTGCGTGTTACCATGGGTGGCAGTAGTAATAATGATGTTGAAAGTGATTTTCTATCATCAATTGAAGTTTTAATTTTAGATCAAGCTGAATTGTTTTTGGCTCAAAATTGGGACAATCTGCTGCATGTATTGGATCATTTACATTTGCAGCCTAAAACCTTGAGAACAACTAATATTAATCGTGTACGTTCGTGGTGTTTAAATGGTTTATCGAAATTCTATCGTCAAACTTTATTATTTGCTTCGCATGAATTACCCGAATTTCGTGGAGTTTTCAATAATAAATGTTTCAACTACGAAGGTAGTGTGCGTATCTCTAACCCCATTATAAATGGTGATATACGTAATGTTATAGTACCTTTATCACAAGTTTTCCATCGTATCGAATGCTCGGATTTAGATCAAGTATTCCAGACACGTTTTAACTATTTCGTCAATAAGATTTTGCCTCAATTTAAGAGTACCATATTTGCTCATACTATGATTTATATACCCAGCTATTTCGATTACGTTCAATTGCGTAATTATTTTAAAGCGGAAAATATTAGTTTTGTGCAAATTTGTGAATATACGAAAAAGGAAAAGATGGCTCGTGCCCGTGATATGTTCTTCCATAGTGGTGCTCATTTTATGTTGTACTCGGAGAGATCACATTTTTTCAAACGTACACGCATTAAGGGCATTCGTCATATTATTATGTATCAACCACCTCAATGGCCTCATTTCTATTCGGAAATGATTAACTTAATGCATTCTTCAAATCAAAATTCTCGAGATGGTTTAGAGGATTCAATGAGTATCACTGTTTTATATACAAAATATGATTGTTTACAATTGAATGGTATTTTGGGTAGTGAGAATGCTACAAGTCTTTTGGAATCCGATAAAGCTGTTCACGTTTATGCTGCGCAATAAGTGTAAAATTTAAATTAGAAAATTTTGTAAAGATGTAGAGATTTTTTAATAAAAACTTGTAAATAAACAAAAAATGTATCTTTTTTTAAAAAATTTCCAGATTGATTAAGGGAAGTAGCATTTGCTGCAGTGGTTTTAGGCTAAAATTTACGAGTCGTTGAAGGTAACATTAGAGTTCTCAAGATAAAAGCTTTCTACAAAAATACTAATAAATAAATGTTAATAAAACTAAATAATTCAAATCTAAAAAAAGGTTTAAAATGATTCGGTTATGTGTCATTTTTTATTTCTTTTCACTAAAGAATAATTTTACCGTATTATCATAGAATATTTTGGCTAATTTATCACATGGTTGATCCTTAACTCCAGCTATAACTTCTAAAACTTGTCTGTAATTAAAAAATATTAATAAGGGTAAAATATAAATAAATTTGTTTAATGCTTACATTATTTGACAAGGTTCACAACGTCCATCTATCAAACTCTCAGCAGTCCATTTTTCCTTTTTCTTAACAGTGGGAAATTTAGTTTTTATCGACTTACTACCAGCATGCGTTGGACGTATACCACACCAGGGACAATCAGTTTCTAACATAATACGATCATTGGGTATTTTCGAAACAACCTGAAGATTATCTTCCGTTTTCAAAGAACAACCATTTAGACCGATATATAAATTGGGATGAAAATCAAGAACTTGTTGAGCCTCTTCTAATGTCCCAGTAAAACTGTGAACAACACCACCACCGCAGGCATCTAATTTTGAGCGATTTCTGCTCAGTATATCCATAAAGTCTTGGTGTGAATTACGGCAATGTAGGAATAAAGGTAATTTAAAATCCTCTGCCAGTTGCAGTTGCTTTTCAAAATACAGTTTTTGTATGTCCTTATCACAGAAATGCAAACGATCATAATCCAGACCACATTCTCCGATAGCCACAACTTTATTGAGATTAGAGGAAATTTTTGATTTTAGTCCTTCGTAGTATTTTTCAGGATTATCTACAAACTCTCCACATCTAGTAGGATGACAGCCCATGGTGACATATAAACGTTCTGTAGAAGTGTGAAAAATTTAACATTCATATATGACAAATCTTAAAAATATCTTTCGTGTTACTATCGTCTATTCGCGCAACACATTGTATACAAGTTTCCATTCTTTTAACGCGCAGAATTAACCTCAAACTTACCATCTTTGGCAGCCATCGACAAAGCTTCGTCAGCCTCATTTAAGGTGCCAACAGTTATGATCATTTTCTGTAAACCTTGCAACCAAGATCTTTTTAATACCAGCTCCAAATCATCCTGATGTTTCTGTGAGCCGCCATAAAGGCCACGAAACATGGGATCCGTTAAATTAGCACCAATATCTGCAAATTTATCACATAAAGAGTTTTAATTGATTCATCATAAATACGGTTTCTTTATTACCTATAAATTTCAAAGACATTTTTAATAAATTAACACTTTTTTGCATTAAATTATAAAAATTATACTTTGCGAATTAAAATGAACAATTAAACAAAGTCTTCTTCGTTTTAAGTAGCAAAATACCAATGGAATGATAACATGAAATTTTAGACAACCCAGTTTTATTTGGTTTTGCCAACACCCTGTGGATTGTTTCATTTTTATACAAACACTTCCTAATTTCTAGAAATTGCCAATCAAAACAAATAACAAGAAAATTTAACCAAAAGTAGAACAAAAGAAATTAAAAATAACTTTGTTCAAAGTAAACCGATTGGTCATCCGCCTTTAAAAATTTAAGACCTGATACGTTAAAATTATTTTCTTGTTGGAAACTTTAAGAAAAGGCTAAACAGAATGTCTGTACGTCATGATTGGTATCAATCGGATGCCAAGGTGGTCATCAGTGTAATGCTTAAGAATGCCAAAGATAAAAACTACAAAGTTGACATTGAGAAACAACGAGTCCATATGACAGCTGAGGGTTATGAACTGGATCTTAAACTGTTTGCACCCATAAATGTGGAACGTTCTTCGTACAAAGATTATCCGTCCAAAGTGGAAATCACATTGGCCAAAGAGGTGGGCATACGCTGGGATTCTTTGGATGAGAAAACAGAACCCAAGCCGATAATGGCGCCACCACCACCCATACACAAAAAAGACTGGGACAGTTTGGCTAAAGAAGTCGAAAAGTCCGAAGAGCAAGAGGCTCAAAGTGAAGAGGCCCTACAGCGTCTATTTAAGAAAATCTACAGTTCTTCCTCTCCTGAAGTACAAAAAGCCATGAATAAATCATTTTCCGAATCCGGTGGTACAGTGCTGAGCACAAATTGGAATGAGGTGGGTAAAGATAAGGTAGACGTTAAACCTCCCGAAGGATGTGAATTTCGTAAATGGGATTAGTTGCTGAGCAAAGAAGTCTTAATAACCAAGTACACAATAACGAATGAATGTTTGACCAATAGGGACCGAAAACATGTTGAGAATTCACTCTAATTAAAAAAAGATATTGCAAATAAAAAATAACTATAATTAACTTTATCCATGTTTATTGTTTTATAAAAACTACCTATATAATGTAACATTTTTATTTAAAATAAATTAAATCTTAATAATAGAGAATAAATTAATAAAAAATATGAATTTATTTAGTTCTATTTATTCTATATTTGACCTATCGATAAAAATGCCATACATTATAATATGAAAAGCCTGAATCTGTTAGATATGAAAACCGGAAAGTCCGGTTTTTTGGCGGCTATGGCAAAAATTGGACAAATCTTTATAAAAATTATTGGTGGCATTTACGTTTATATAAAAGTTATTTGTGCCGAATTTCATCGTGATACTAGTGTTTATTTGTGAATAGTAGACATTAAAGTAATTATCTGTAGGGGACTTTGTATGGGGGCTAGCGTCAAATGAGGCCCGATCGGTACAAAAATTTAAAGTGTTATTTATAGTTATATAAAACTAAGTTGTGCCGATTGTAGTAATATGTATGGGGCTAGGGAAAAATTATGCCAACCCTTATCAAATTTATTGGTGGGAGTTATGTTTATGTAAAAGTTATTTGTATCGAATTTCATCGTGATACTAATGTTTATTAGTGAATTGTGGAATGCTGAGTCCATTTTCGGATTCAGCATGGAAATTTACCAGAAAGGTAAGTTTTCAGCCAGATTAGGCCAGTAGTTTTCGAGATTAAAGCAAACAAAAAAATAAATTTGAAATTTTATTGAAGTATGGGTCATAGGTCCAACATACATCTAAATTTTTTATTTTTTGCTTTAAACTCCGGAACTACTGGCCGAATCTGGCTGCAAATTTCACCTTTCTGGTAAAATCCCATGGTCCAAATCCAAAAATGGTCTCAAAATGGACCTAAGGCCAATATTTCATCAAAATTCCCGAACATTTTTTATTTCAAGCTATTTGTGGTATAATATCGGGGTCTAGAGGCCTAGACTTGCAAAAGTTTCACATTCAAGATTAGTACTTAAGCTTAATCCAAAAATGAACTAATAGTGGACCTGAGACCAATATTTCATCAAAATTTCCGACCGATTGTACCACAAATTTTTATGTCATCTCAGAATTTCCTCTACATTTGTGGGTTCTTGTCTTGACTGTTGAAAAATTTGCTATCTAAGACAAGAACCTCACATATTACAAAAATCTTGATGGGATATTTGGTTCAAAATGTTTGTGCTGAAATTTTTATGAAATATTGGACCTAGCTCAATTCTGAAACCATTTTCGGATTCAGCATAGATTTTAATCTTAAATGACAAATTTTAGTTTCCCTCGGCCCTAAGATCTCGAAATAATAGTACAAATTGGTAAAAAAATCGGGAATTTGGATGAAACAATGGACATAGGTCCATTCTGAGTTCATGGAAATTTACCGGAAAGGTGAGTTTTCAGCCAGATTCGGCCAGTAGTTTTCGAGATTAAAGCAAACAAAAAAAAATATTTTGAAATTTTGTTGTTGTATGGGGTGTAGGTCCAACATTTATCAAAATTTCTGATTTTTTTTTTATTTTTGCTTCAAACTCGGGAATCTGACTGCAAAGTAAAGTTTTAGGTAAAATTTCATGATAAATCCAAAAATGGACTCAGAATGGACCTGGCATAAAATTTTCATCAAAATTCTAGAAAATGTTATATTTTAAGCAATTTGTGGTATTATATCGGGTTCTTGTGGCCTAGAGCTGCAAAAATTTGACATTCAAGATTAGTACTCAAGCCAATTTTTACTACAAAATTGTGTGTCATGTCAAAATTTGTCAATATTTCCTCTATATTTGGCGGTTCCTTGTCTTGACTATTGAAAAAATTAGCTAAACAAGGCAAGAACCTCACATATTAGAAAAATCTTGATGTGAAATGAAATTTTGTGGGATATTTGGTTCCAAATGTTTGTGCTGAAGTGGAATTGTTTCAGATCTTGAACTGAATAAAAGACTAAAAAATTTTGTGTATTAGTATCTTTATTTCAGATTGTTGTTATTATCTTAAGTATATATCTATTTGTATTGGCTTTATACGATGTTTAACAAGCCTGATGGTGATCCCACCATGATGATAGATGTGGCCTCAGCCGCAACGATAAATAATCCAGGCTTAAAGAACAAAGAACGGAAAATGGCAAGCCAAGTCTTCAAGAAAACTAAAATAGCTTATAACTTCGTTAAAACACGTTTAAATTGAAAAATAGGCTTATTTTGTGATCCCTCATATTTTCCTTCAAAAACCGTATTTTTGGTAAAAAAACATAAGAAACCAAAAAGCGCTTGTAATTTCGTTGAAACACGTCTTTATTGGTCTTTGTATTACTATATATAGGTCCGACTATTATTTCTTACTTGTATAAAAGTAAAGATTTTTCATTTCATTCTAGTGATATTGTCCTCTATTAGTTAAAACTAAACAAAATCTTAAAAATTATACCGATAATTTGATAAAAAATGTGTATTTTTTTCTATTCAATTTAATTAGAAAATCTTCTTCCACTTGAAAACGTTTCTATCACGATTAGGTATTTCTTTTTTTTTACTCTTCCGTTCACACTTAACTAACCAACCGGCAATATATCCATTCGTCCATTTTCATTTAGTCACTCAATTTACAACAAACAACATCTATATATATCTATACAAGGAGCAGAGTAACAACATCCTTACCGAATAAACATCTAACAATTTTAAAACATGTTCGTTTGTGAAAAAAAAAGAACAAGAAATGAAGAGAAAACAAGAACAACAACAACAACTCTTCTTGCATACAAATAAGTCCTTAAGCTTTTTCTTTTAAAACATATTGAGTTTATAAACTTAATAAAATAAAAGAGCAGGAAAGAAATAAAGGAACACATCAAAATTAAACTGAACTGTAGCATAAAATCACTAATAAAGCATAAAGTGAACAACTCGGCTCTATGGACTTACTAAATGTGTAAAAATAAAACCGGAAGTAAGAAAAGAGTAAATTGATAAGACAGTAGAGATTAATTAAATAAATATCCTTATCAAATACAAACATACTCATAAAAACATCCATCTATTCTTACTGTTTTAGTAGCTAGTGATACTATTACAGGATCTTTGGCCAACCAACGAACCAACAATATTGTTGGTAATAGTATCAATGTAAAAAAAAATAAAGTAAACTTTTCCTAGTGAAATTTTATATTTAAGTAAAAAGTTAGTTGATTGAAACAATTATACAAGATTACTAAATATTGATGAAGTTAAAAATGGCCAGTGAGTGTAACGAGTGAATAATTAGTTTTGTTTTTAAAAATAATAATGAGAAGTACGCTTTTTAGAAGATATTATTTTTATTATTAAACCCGGCATGACCAACTTTGATGGGAGAGCCAAGGGCACCATTCCACATACGAATCCTAGTAACAACTAAGTGAAATTTCGCTATGATATGTATCTCCTTCTGAGCTGAGCAACGTTATCATAATGTTCGTTATTGAATGGACAACAGTTTGTATGAGTATTATGATAATTATAAATAAATCATACGCACTATAGTATGTTCTTGAGATACCGAAATTCATGGAATAGACTATAGACTACACTATTGACTAGACTATAGACTACACTATAGACTAGACTATAGACTAGACTATAGACTAGACTATAGACTAGACTATAGACTAGACTATAGACTAGACTATAGACTAGACTATAGACTAGACTATAGACTAGACTATAGACTAGACTATAGACTAGACTATAGAATGCACTATAGACTAGACTATAGACTAGATTATAGACTACACTATAGACTAGACTATAGACTAGACTATAGACTACACTGTAGACTAGACTATAGACTACACTATAGACTAGACTATAGACTATAGACTAGACTATAGACTAGACTATAGACTAGACTATAGACTAGACTATAGACTAGACTGTAGACTAGACTATAGACTAGACTATAGACTAGACTAGACTATGGACTAGACTATAGACTAGACTATAGACTAGACTATAGACTAGACTATAGACTAGACTATAGACTAGACTATAGACTAGACTATAGAATAGACTATAGACTAGACTATAGACTAGACTATAGACTAGACTATAGACTATACTATAGAATAGACTATAGACTAGACTATAGACTAGACTATAGACTAGACTATAGACTAGACTATAGACTAGACTATAGACTAGACTATAGACTAGACTATAGACTAGACTATAGACTAGACTATAGACTAGACTATAGACTAGACTATAGACTAGACTATAGACTAGACTATAGACTAGACTATAGACTAGACTATAGACTAGACTATAGACTAGACTATAGACTAGACTATAGACTAGACTATAGACTAGACTATAGACTAGACTATAGACTAGACTATAGACTAGACTATAGACTAGACTATAGACTAGACTATAGACTAGACTATAGACTAGACTATAGACTAGACTATAGACTAGACTATAGACTAGACTATAGACTAGACTATAGACTAGACTATAGACTAGACTATAGACTAGACTATAGACTAGACTATAGACTAGACTATAGACTAGACTATAGACTAGACTATAGACTAGACTATAGACTAGACTATAGACTAGACTATAGACTAGACTATAGACTAGACTATAGACTAGACTATAGACTAGACTATAGACTAGACTATAGACTAGACTATAGACTAGACTATAGACTAGACTATAGACTAGACTATAGACTAGACTATAGACTAGACTATAGACTAGACTATAGACTAGACTATAGACTAGACTATAGACTAGACTATAGACTAGACTATAGACTAGACTATAGACTAGACTATAGACTAGACTATAGACTAGACTATAGACTAGACTATAGACTAGACTATAGACTAGACTATAGACTAGACTATAGACTAGACTATAGACTAGACTATAGACTAGACTATAGACTTATAGACTAGACTATAGACTAGACTATAGACTAGACTATAGACTAGACTATAGACTAGACTATAGACTAGACTATAGACTAGA